GTACTCATAGTCGTGCATGCCGTAGTCGTTAGACCATTGACCTCGCATCCCTACAAAGCCGGGACGGAGCACGCCGGGTTCTCACCGGACCAAGCGGGCAGGGGAGTAATTCAATTCATATGGTTGGTGCATCTTCAGTTCGGATGGAACAATTTCTCGGAAAGCGATGATGAATTTCTAAACGCGAACAGGTACGAGCGTGTGGGACAACCGCTTTCGTTCCAATTTTCATTCCTACCCCAGGAAATCTCGTTCGGGGTCCTGAGACTCGTGCAGCCTGACCCCAAGCTCTATCAACACGACAATACGGCCGCTCTTGAGACAAAAGTCGGGGTGATCAGGCAACCACAAGCAAGATCGATTGGACTATTGCTTGCTCCAAAACGACGGCGATCGCAACGCACGCACGAGCTATCTTGAGTACCCTCTGTAGGTGACACCGTCGTTAGATACACCCGCGCCTTTGTACAACCGCTGCCTTGGTGTGTTCTCTCCCAGCAACGCACCTCATTGGCGGGGGCACCACGGCGTTCCATTCCCGTGGAGGGCGTCCTCATCGCCGAGGTGAGCCCTTTGAAGGCCGCGGGGGTAAGCGCTCCGCAGAACCCGCTCCGGCCGACAACATCGGGCGCCTTCGAAGAGCTACCCGCCAGGCTCCTGACGTTGGCCGCGTTGGTGAAGCTGCTGTCGGTGCTCACCGATGGCGAAGCGAGCCGGCAGGGGGAGCCACCGGCGGCAGCATCCCGCACTCCTGCCCGTTCTGGGGCTGCCGGCAAGGGAGCGTGCGCCGCCGCCGTCACTGAAGGGACGCCAAAGCCTGACCGCTGCTGCTGCCGTTGGCTCTCCTTCGCGTCGTTCAAGCCCGACGTGCTCTCGCCCTCCTTCTCCTCTTGCCCGCCGTTGCTACCGCAGCCGCCGTGCAAGCCGGAGTAGCCTCCCTCCGGGTTGGCTGCCGCCTGCTGTCCGGCCTCGGCCGCGCCTTCCTTGTTCGTCGATAAGGCTGCGTCGACCGTTCGTGGAGGATTCCTTGCAACCTTCGCTCTCCCTCCGAAGACCGATTCGAAGGCGGGCTCTACTGCTACGGGTCTCCTGGAAGGGTCCTCGTCAGGCACCCGACCCGCCTCCGCCTCCGCCTGCGGCGGGATTCTGCTGCCGTTGAGATGCTGCTGGCCGACTCCTCCTGGCTGGCCTCCAAAAGCTGCCGGTTCCGGCAGCTTTGCCGAGAGTCTTGGCACTGGACGTGCACCACCAGCTGCTTCCTGACCTCCTTGAGGAGCGGAGCCCTTCGGCGGCGTCCTTGCTACCTTGGGCGTCCTCGCGAAAGCGGCGAGTATCTCCTCCTCTATTCGCTTGGTGTCGGCCGCGGGGGTGGTGACGATCTCGCCAACAGCACCAGCACCTTGTCCCGCTACAGCAGCGGCACCCGAAGAGCCACTACCAGTGGGAGTGCTCACGCCAGCAGCAGGCGGCGAACGCGCCGGAGACCCCGAGCGCGCGAAGGGCGACGGGCGGGGGATTTTGGTGACCGAGGGGGATGCGCGTGCTCGAGAACCGGGCAACCTATTGCCCGTCTTCGAGGACAGAGGCGTCCGTGGCAGTTGACGCTTCGTACGGAAGGGGTCTTTAGGTGGCGCAGCGGCTGGGGCAGGTGCACCCACGGGAGGGATGCCGCTGGCTCGCTGTTGTTGCGGCTGTCCTCCAGGCCTTTCCATGGGCTTGGACCCGGTATGTTGCTGGTGCCCAGACGCTTTTGTTCTGCCAGCGCCGCCGTTCCATGGACGGAACATGGCCACGACTGTCGCAAGACCGACAGCGTTGAGATTGACGTTTCTTTTCTCTCGGCTTCCCTTCCCTGCTGCCTGCCGTTAAGCCAGGCAAATGGGCGTGTGTCTGTTGCCGGTTGCAACGTTGCAACGGCTGTCTGTGTGACGGAGCGACGGCAAAAAATGCCCAACGGCAAGGTTGGATGATGGTTCTTGTGCGTACCCAAAAATATCATCGCGTACCCCCCCTTCCCATGCACTCCTTGTCGGACACTCTCTGCCTTGGCCCCGTACCGGCCCTCTCGCAACCGCAATTTGTGCTACCGGATGACGCGCTCCTGTTCTTCGTGCTGTGGTGGTTGTAGTAGCGCTGGCTCAAAGGTGCGAACAGCAGTGAATAATCCAAACTCCTGAACATGACAGTCCGTCCGCAACATGAAAGCGGCTCTGCTGCTGCTGTGAACTCTGAGCGTCTAGGGTCTGGGACTTGTACAATGGAAACGAAGCACAGCATCATCCCTAGGGAATGGAGTCTCGCATGTCGAACACGGTATGGCGCCGCCCAATTGAGCAATTCATAAAAGGCCCGCTTCTTGGTACTCCAAAACTTGCGTGTTATCCAGGTTGCAGTTGTCATCGTTTCCAGAGAACGAAGCCGAGGTGGAGGTTATTGGCTTTCGAACGGTGTCAATAAGCCTTGAACGTCATCCCCAGCAGCGAAGACACCCTAATGACGACACTTCTTGCGTAAAATAGCCTCTCTGGTGTCCATTACTGCATCGAGTTTGGTTGCACTGCTGTCCGCGCTTGTGCAACAGCAACTACAGGTGAAGCAAACCTGTAGGTTACCACAAGGATATAAGATAGGAATGCCTTGGGATCTTGGGATCCTTGACTGGGGGAGCGTAGATGACATCTAACTCGAATCTCAAGCGATAATCTAACAACATGTGTAGACTCTCATGATCCTGCTGGTCTTGATGGCACGACCCGCGTTTCACCACACCTTGTTCTCACCCAGGCCCTCCAAGCGTGCGTGGCGATGGCATTTCTTATCTCTCCCTCGACGCCCTTCCTCCCAGCCATCTCGTCCACCTCCATCGTGCGACACGTACGGCGAACAGCGTCAACATTGTCAATCTCAGTCTCGCACCGCAGGAGAGAGGCCACAATAACGGCCTCGCAGCGATCGCTCGTGTCCCTGTCCGCCGCCGGCAGCGATGGCGCAAAAGATGCTGCCGTGCGCGCCGTGCAGGCGGCCGACCAAGCGTTAAATAAGGCGACGCATGACGCGGGTTCAGCCGCTAGCCGAGATGAGGTACAGGTCACCATCGCTGCTGCCCGCGCTGCCGCTCGTAGCGCAATGGAGTCGTTGCGGAGAGACCCGGGAACGTTCGGAGGAGGAGGGCTAGGAGACGAGGCGGTGCAGCAGGCAAGCTGCGCGTTGGCGTACTTTCTGATCGTTGTCCTTCCTGGTTTGCTGCATCAACGTTTTTGCCCTCGTGACTTCCATAGCCTGCTCTGTATTGTTTATTCAAACTACGTACACCAGTACCTCGTGCCCCAGTGCTAACACGCGTCGAAGTCTTACATCATAGTCTATTGGCTTGATTTCAACCCATGAGAGGCCGTGCATATTTGCCCCCGCCCCTGCTACGTCCTATCGAGGACGCGTGGCCAATGGTCTAACCGCCAAGGCAGCAACACATGAGTTCGTCCCCCCCCCCCAAGCTGAGAGTCGGGTCGTGGAACGTGTGCGGGTTCGCAAGGAGTGAGCGCAAGCGGTTGGAAATAGTGGACCAAGTAGAACAAAGCGATCTAGATGTAGTGGGGATCCAAGAGACGTGGGAATTGAAGGATGGGGACGTGGTAAGCAAACTAGAGGAATACCGGTGG